CCCCAAAACCCCAAAACCCCAAAACCCCATATGACTGAAAATAAGATTAATCTCGAATAAATAAAAAATTGGTCAGATAGATGATACTAGTGGTTTGATAGCTGAATTTTTAATATCATCTATATCTACAATGAGTGGAGAATCTATTACTGCGAAGCCTGCATTAACACCTCCTTCATTGCTATCTTTGCCTTTAGTTCTTAAAAGTCTACCAATAATCTTTTGACTGACTACATCATGCTAATCTTTGTGTTAAGTACTTATAAAAATGCTTGAAAAGACTCCGAATTCTGATAAAGTTTGTCCTTCAATTAGTTTTCCATTTCTAAGCATGAATGCCTTGATCTCTGGAGGATTAATTCTCTCCATTATAAGGAATTACTTTAGATATTCTTTATCATTCTGCTCAAGAAGTTCCTTCACTTAATCATCATAGAAATTATTGCCACCTCCTTCTTTCTATGGCTTTATTACATAATCATGTGGATTATCAAGTGCCTTTCTAATGATTTCTTAAACTTCTGACTCTGGCTTTTCAATATCCTCAAGAGTCCAGATTCCTTTAAATATTTGCTTAATTATGTCTGCATCCTATAAATGATGATTCATGACTTCCTTCAAAAGTCTCTCATCACCGAAGGCTTGTTGAAACTTCTTAAATGTGGTCAAATGAACATCTATACTTGGACATTTAATGGGCATAGTAGTCTCAAGCATTTCTCTAGTTTGCCAATCTTTCTCATTTTCGTATTACTCTAGTTAGTATCCAGTTCTGTAGTAAACAAAAGCAATCTCATGATCATTTATGCTGAGAGCATTTGTATTTTCATCAACTTTTGCAAGATTGCCTATCTGAGTAAATGTCATTCTCATTGACTTAATTCCATGATCATGATATAGTTAATACTCAATCCATTTCTGGTCACAGATATTTCTCTCCTCCTTATCAATCACAAATAAAACCCAATGACTCTCTAATTTTCTATCCTCATAGAGATCTGGGAATCTTCTAGTCATGTCTTCATGATATCTTTAAACAGCATCTTTAAATGTAGAAGCAAGATCTTTAATGTAGCTTTTACCCAAACCATCATCTTTAATTTGATCTGGAGTGTAGTTAAAACTTAAACTATCAGCATATTTATTCCTAACTAGATTCTAAACCTCTGTTACTTTTTGACACAAACAACCTAGAATTGAAGTTAAAAGAATTTTCATTCTTACCAAAAGATGATGCTACTGTGTTATACTCCACTAGCTTAAGGGAATCAGTAACACTGTCGATCATATAGTCTGATCTTAATATGCATGCATGCGTCTCTTATCTAAGTTCTTTCTTTTAATATGCCTCACTTACTTTGAGCATCTTTTGCATGAGTTCATCGTGCAGCTTGAAATACTGCAAGATATCATGAATTTAATCTGGTTTACGGACTAAATCATTTATCATCACTCCCAAATGACTTTGTAAATTTTGTGCACCTAGGTAGTGAACTGAAGGGAAAGGGGTCGGAAATAAAGATATTGGAGCATGATTGTACTCCACTGAGTCTGCTTTTGTGTTTGACTTTACCATTAAGCCTGAAACAGCACAAGTTTCAATAACATCTTGTATGATAATATCTTTTAAGGATGATTTGTGATAGTTTTAATTCTCCATTTTAATTAATTCTCAAAACTTTTATCCACGTAATATATAGCACTATGGGGTTTTGGGGTTTTGGGGTTTTGGGG